TGAATGTGATCAAACCATTACAGGAAGTCATGGGTGCTTTGATAGATTTAAAAAACGCTACAGTCTACACAATGTTAAGGTGAGTGGAGAAGCAGCTAGTGCCGATGTTGGTGCTGCCGAAGCTTTTAAGGAGGAGCTACATGAAGTGATTGTGGAAGGGAATTATTTGCCTGAGCAAATATTCAATGTGGATGAGACTGGATTATTGTGGAAGCGCATGCCTGAGCGGACATACATCCACAAAGAGGCGAAAACAATGCCAGGATTCAAGGCATTCAAGGACAGAATTACACTTCTGTTGGGGGGAATGTTGCTGGTTTCAAGCTAAAGCCCAGGGCTTTCAAATATGTCAGCAAACACACACTGCCAGTGTTTTATTGCAGTAATAAGAAAGCCTGGATGACCTTAGCACTGTTTGGGGATTGGTTCATGACTTGTTTCATTCCAGGAGCCAAGGAGTATTGTCTGCAACAACGGATTCCATTCAAGATTTTGCTGATTTTGGATAATGCTCCGGGACACCCACCACACCTGGACGACATGCACCCTAATGTTAAGGTAGTCTACATTCCACCTAACAGTACCTCTATCATCCAACCCATGGATCAAGGTGCTATTGTTGCCTTTAAAGCGTATTATTTACGCACGACCTTCGCTCAGGCTGTTGCTGCTACTGAAGGTGAGAAAACGCTCAGTGTGTTTTGGAAGGAGTACAACGTTTTGTCATGTACTATAAAGAACATTAGTGCAGCATGGGATCAGGTTACAAAACATTGCATGAATGGAATATGGAAGAAAATCCTGAAAAGATATGTGAACAGTTTCAAAGGATTTAATGAAAATGAAGTTATTTCGGATATTAGTAACAAGATAGTGGAGTTGGGTAAACAGCTGGAGTTAGAAATTGATAATGAAGATGTTGAACAGTTGGTTGAAAATGTAGCAGAAGAGCAAGGTAACGAGGATCTTATTGAACTAGATGCACAGAAAATTGCAGAGGAAGAAGAGAGACAAAATGTAGAAGAAGAACCTGCACCCCCCAAAAAGTTTTCAGTGAAACAAATGGCAGAGGTATTTGCTACAATTAATAAAGGAATGCAAATGTTTGATGGCATGGATCAAAATTATGAGCGTTATGCCAAAGTTGACAGAATGATCCAAGATGCACTTGCTTGCTACAGAGAAATTTATAATGAAAAGAAAAAACAAACTGTGCAGTCTAAATTGGACATCTATTTTAAGAAGTCCCCCAGTGCTGTCTCCTCACGCCCCACCAGTGCTGCCTCTTCACTCCCTCAAGATGATCCAATACCTTCAACCAGCAAGTTTCCACAGTACATAAACCTGTCTGAAGAAAGCGACATTGATGACCCATCCAGCCCTGTCTCCTCTGCTTCTTCCAGTTAATGTAGTCTCCATGTATAATTAGAAAATTATGGGGCCCCGTGCACATTCAGCTGACTACATTAAAGGTAAGTGCTCAGTCACACTGTATCCATTTCTCATTATTTACTACTTTTATTGTACTGTATCCATTCCTCATTTTTTATTACTTTTACTGTACAGTTGTACCCCACTTAAAGCGGTCAATTGAACCCAGAGGGTCCCGCGTTAAGTGAAATCCGCGTTAAGTGAACAACAGAACATATGGGATTAATTCCAATAGAAACCGGCCTGACCCCCAAACTCCACTTTTTGAAGGCACATACCTATGTTGTAGTAAAAATAACATCTTAATTTTATGATGGTACATGCACACAATTAATACTTAAGAGAAATACAGTCGCCAAGTTAATGTCCATTCAAATAATGGACTCAACTCCCTCCCCCTCTCACACTACACTCGCTGGCTCTTCCCTCTCAGAGAAATTTTTGGGGGAAAACCACTAAATTTTAATAAATAATACCTCAAACTAAAGTTAGGATAATACAATTGACATTGCTGGATTCCTTGTAAGACCAGGAATATTTTGAATATAAATGTCATATATTTTGCACAAAAGATAACATAGTTACCTAGAGAAAAATTTTTATCTAAAATTTGTATGTTTAATGAAAAATATATGATGTTTATATTCAAAATGATCACCAAATTATAAGAATTCCAGCAATGTAAATTATATTCTGACCGGGTAATTTGTATGAATTTTATGAGCTAAAACAAATATCTTCAGTTAATAAAAAAAAAAATAATCTTCACAACACTATCTGTCAATCAAAGTACCCCACCTTGCCTCCCCCCTCTTCCAACCGCGCGGTCAGTCCCAACCCTCCCCCCCACCCCCCACCAATCCTCCCTTCCAGGGTTTTTAACATTTAGTATTAAATAATACCTCAGATTAAAGTTAGGATAATATAATTGACATTGCTGGATTCCTTGTAAGACCAGGAATATTTTGAATATAAATGTCATATATTTTGCACAAAAGATAACATAGTTAATTTGAGAAAAATTTTTATCTAAAATTTGTATGTCTAATGCAAAAATATGATGTTTATATTCAAAATGATCATCAAATTATAAGAATTCCAGCAATGTAAATTATATTCAGACCGGATAATTTGTATGAATTTTATGAGCTAAAACAAATATCTTCAGTTAATAAAAAAAAAAATAATTCTTCACAGGGTAACAGATGGTCGGTCGGTCCCTCCCTCCCCCCACCAACCGTCCCAAGGAGATGTGTGGGATAACCACTAAATTTTAATAAATAATACCTCAAACTAAAGTTAGGATAATATAATTGACATTGCTGGATTCCTTGTAAGACCAGGAATATTTTGAATATAAGTGTCATATATTTTGCACAAAAGATAACATAGTTAATTTGAGAAAAATTTTTATCTAAAATTTGTATGTCTAATGCAAAAATATGATGTTTATATTCAAAATGATCACCAAATTATAAGAATTCCAGCAATGTAAATTATATTCTGGCCGGGTAATTTGTATGAATTTTATGAGCTAAAACAGGCAGTCAGGCAGGGTGGGGCAAATCTAAAAATAGCGTCTCGAGCCGGACACTCACCGCGTATATGTGGAAAAAATCCGTGTTAAGTGAAAGTTCAGCTCTGGCGAGGCACCGCGTATATGATAAAACGCGTTAAGTGAAACCGCGTTAGGCGGGGTAATACTGTACTGTATTTCATTGTAGATTTTTCATTTATTTATTTATTTTTTTAATTTAGAAAAAAATTTCAATTATATTTTTTTTTATCTATGTCGAACTTACAACCAATCGGACTTACGGCCTGGATTTGGGTCCCTAACCCCGTCATAAGTCGGGGAGCACCTGTATAGTGTATTTTTCATCATAAATAACAAAACAGAGTATTTAATATATAATTTGACTTCAAAATAAAACGACAAGCTAAATCAGTGTTGGTGGTGTGGCGGTACCAGAGCAGACCGAGGGAGGCATGACTCAACAGCAAGTAACGCAAAATCTCAGCAATATTGAAGAAAACTGTGACGAACTCAGTGCACAGTTAGACAGTTTAGTGGAACCCTCCAGGCAATGTTACCAAGAATTTAAACACCGCCACCAAGCTCTCATCACCGCCTATTTTACACTTCAACAATTCTAGGAGAATCCAGTGACGATGACCCTGCCGCTCTGGAGATTGGTGTTGAGGATGAAGTCGGTTTATATGTGTCTGTAGTTGATTTTAAGGCTTTGAATCCAACTAGCCGTCACCCCCTGCCTCGCACCCCCATTGTCTCCCAGAGCTTCTCCCACCTCCACTGTTCAGTGCAGACCATGGAGTATTGCATAATTATCTTTCTGGGCTTTCTTAAAATATTTATTTAATAATGTAGATGCAGTTTATGTGACATTATATGTCATTGTTGGAAGGTTAAGTTGGTTACCCAAAGTCGTTCCAGAGTAAAGGTCTGTCGAGTTCAGTACTATACAGCAGAACATCGATATAACACGAGATACGTTCCAAGAGAGGTCGCTTTAAACCAAATTCGCACTAAATCGAAGTGTTGTTTCAATGGAATAATTTAGTTTGGTACTTGAGAGAAACACAAAATACTAAAAAGACTGAGTCTACCCAGATGCACCTCAGCCCATCTCCTAGAATAAACAAAAAATTGTATTTTGTAGTATGTTAAAACACACTCATAAATCAACACAGCTAAAATTAAGGGATGCAAAATGGTCTGTTTACTGGCTGGGAAGATAGGGGGAGAAGGAGGTGAGGTGATATGTTTGACAGTTGATGCCAAGGTCTAGTGCTTATTTATTTATCTGTCCTAAAGAATGACTAAGTTTTTCTCTTATAAAATGTCAGAGAAGTAACGAGGGAGAATATAATTTACATTGCTGGAATTCTTACAAAATAGTGATTAATTTGAATATAAACATGCTATAGTTTGCACTAGACAAAAAATTTAGTAATCATTTAGTACATTATTTTGAGTACCTGTACATGTACAGTACAGCTTTGCCCTTAGGACAGTGTAGCGTGCCCAGAGAAACATTAGGCGCAAAATTTTAAATATAATGCACCAGATTGACTCACGCAAAATAGGAAAGATTTGCTTTAAATTAAAATATTGTCCTTAATTGTGGGTGTCGCTTTAAATCAATAATCTTTAATTGAATGGCTTTAAATCGACGTTCTACTGTATAGTGATCTTAACATGTTAAAGCACATTGCTTGAGTGAGTTTCCAAAGTGTAGATGTGTACCAGTATGATATACCTGTGCAAAATGAGACCCCACTGTATGCACTAAGTTTATAAGAAATCTTTTTTTTCTAATATATTAGCATTAATCAGTTCCATTTTCTTTACTAGGACTAGAATAAATTAAGGTAAGTTGCCAACAGTATTCATGCAGATCCTTCAAAGTTCAGTGTTGTTACTTGTATGACACACTACTAGTCACTTTGATATGAGAAGGCTACTGTGTTCTACATAAACATGACACAATGCAAGAATAATTAGTGTCAATTAATAACATACAAAAAATTACTTGTTCAAATCCTACCTGAGCGGGCCATTCCAGACCCAAGATATTGCTGTGACCAAGCATGTATATGGGGTATAAAATTATTCATTTCTTTATAAATGTGCGCTTCAGACACTCCTAAGCCATACATGTCCCGCAGCACTGTAGGTTGTGACATCAATTCTTGTACCAGTTTGTCCAGTTTACTATGGGTCTGAATCTTGTTTTTCACAACCTGTAATATACAGTAATGCAGGATTGGTGTATTTCTGATCTTTAAGAGTATGATTAGAGTGAATAATATTTGATTGATAAAGTAATGCTTGGTTTCCATGCTGACACAGAACAGAGGTGATATACAAATTGATTAAAGCTGATTATGATAAGAATATTCCAGATTGGGGTAGAATTCCCAAGCTGCTTCTATATTAGCACAGTATATATATATCATGAGAGTAGGTTCATCAGAAACAGATGTTCTAAATTAAGCCTGAAACAATTGGCATCAGGTTTACTTGTTTCATCCCATTTAACAATTGCTTCTGGAAGTTTGGAAACTAGCTAAGTTTAACCCTCTAGCTATGTCTATTAATGCTAGGATAGTTCTTTTATAATGTCAATTATACACAACAAATTCTAGTCTTCGGTTATAGTCCCCACCTTTTTAGTTTTACATCACTAAATAACAATGTTTAATTGAAAACAATAGTATACTGTACATAAAAAACAAAAAATTTTATAGATAAATATTATTCAATATACAGCATTAAATAAGTGCTTGAAACTCTTCTGGATGTAAATACTTAAAAAGAACTGAAATTACAGGACAGTAATGTCAAAATGCTCTATATTCCATACATACAAAGTTTAGCATGGAAACACCAAAGTGTTCCCTTGCCAAAGACAAGACATCTGAAACAGGATAATTTGAGCTGATCAAGGTTATAGAAAAAAAACAACACTTTCTTGGGAATAAATGATCTTTGGTAAGCAGTGATTCTGAAGAATCGAATTTCAATGGAAAAGTCAAGAGCTGATAGAGGGTATGTGGTGGTCAGAGTTGTAAAACATACCGGACTTTGTTACAATGGCAAAAAGTTACTCAAGTAGAAGAAAATGTACCAAAGTTCAATGTACTCAAGTGGAAGTAAAAAAAGGATTTCATATATATATATATATATATATATATATATATATATATATATATATATATATATATATATATATATATATATATATATATATATATATATATATATATATATACAGTGACCCCTCGTTTAACGAACGCCTCGGTTAACGAAGTTTCGGTTAACGAACTGCCTTCCATAAGGATCTTCAATTCGGTTAACGAACAAAAATTCGGTTAACGAATTTCTTACGAACCGACCTCAACATGTTTTCACTTGTGCTGACCGGGCAACCAGCTTTAGTATCAGTCCGCCAATACATTAATCGGTTCTAGGGCTTAAATTCTTACTATTTTAGTAAATATCAAGAAGTTTGTACTATTCAATAATTTTAAAAGTTTTATATTCAATTTTTTAGTCATTTTAACAATTATTGAACATAATTGAAGGTAAAGAAACTAGTTTCTGGCACACCATCCAGCCTGTTAACACACCATACAGGCGTCAGTCTTTGTGTCTTTTCAGTGGAGGCAACATATTGCTTGAGACTCTCTTCAACTAAATGCATTTTCTCTGTGTTTCCAAGCAAATTATTGGTCATTTTGAAATTTATTTTACATATTGACAATATATAATGCAGTGCAGTGTTGATTTAAAGAAAATAATCTTGAATTACACCAAGAGAACTAAAATTTTATGGGTGAAATGGCACCATGGGGTGACTTCTCTTCCACCCCAATGACTTCTCTTCTCCCTTCTCCTACTCCACCTCCCACTTCAAATGCACATCATCATCATCATCCAGGAGCCTTCTACATACACACCTCAAAGTAAGTGAACTTGTCTACCATTTTTGTTGAATTTAGGAAATTTTCGGTGAGCTGGAACCAATTACCCAAAAACCCATTGAAACAATGGTTTCGGTTAACGAACGACCTTCTGGAACGGATTGAGTTCGTTAACCGAGGGGTCACTGTATATATATATATATATATATATATATATATATATATATATATATATATATATATATATATATATATATTACAGTATCTCGCTAATCTAACCTCGGTTAATTTGATTAACTAACTGCCTTCCATATATGATCTTCAATTGCTAACTAAAAAATTGCTCAACGAATCTTCTTAACCGACCTCAACATAGAGCTTGCTACTGACCGGCAACCAGTTTTAGTATCAGTCCTACACAATACAAATCGGTTCTAGGGCTTAA